ATCCCAATCAAAATCCCCATGACATACTTCACAGAATTAGAAAAAAATTCCTTAAATTCATATGGAAGCACAAAAGGCCCCAGATAGCCAAAGCAAACCTGAGCACAAAGAATAATGCTGGTGGAATTAATAGACCAGATCTCAAAGTATACTACAGAGCTGTAGTCATAAACAGCATGGTAATGGCACAAAAATAGACACACAGATCAACTGAACATCATAGAAGACCCAAACCTGAGTACATGTAATATCAGCCACTTGGTATTTTACAAAGATGCCAAGAACATGCAGGGGAGTAAAGACAGCATCTTCAACAAATGGTGCTGGCAAAACTGAATCCCCAACCTGTAGAAGAATGAAACTAGTTCCCTATCTTTCACCTTGCACAAAAGTCAACTCCAAATGGATCAGACCTCAATGTGAAACTAGAAACTCTGAAACTATTAGAAGAAAACATTGGCAGTAACCTAGAAGATATAGGTGTAGGAAAGGACTTTCTAAATCAGACACCAGGAAATACAGAAAATAATATGAAGAACAGTAAATCTAAGCATTGAAAAGATAATCAAGTTAGACTGTCCTTTAGCCCAACTAACAAAAATAAAGAAAGAGCAGGCCCCAATAAGCAAAATCAGAAATGATCAGGGAAGCATCTGAGAGAAATGATTTCCAGAAATATAACGAACTCAAAAAGCAAAGAACCAAGAAAACAAATGGCCCAATTAAAAGATGGGCTAATGATCTAAACAGAGAGTTCTCAAAGGAAGAAATAAAGATGGCTAAGAAACATCTTAAAAACTGTTCAACATCATTATTAATTAGGGAAATGCAAATTAAACCCATCTTAAGATTTCACCTTACCACAGTCAGACTGGGTAAAATGAAGAGAACAAATGATACGAGATGCTGGTGAGGATATGGAGAAAGGGGAACACTCATTGACTGCTGGTGGGATTGCAAACTCGTGTAACCCCTATGGAAAGCAGTGTGTTTTTACTCTTAAAAAACTAAAAATGAACCTACCATATAACTCAGTTATACCACTCCTTGGCATATACCCAAAGGCCTTATTATATTGAAGAGATACTTGTTACAACCATGTTTGTTGCTGCTCTTTCATAATCCCATAAGAGATCGGAGCAACCTAAGTGCCCCTCAACT